ATGCACAGTTAGGAGTTGTTTTTTATTATTTTATTCAAAACTAAAATTTAGTCTTTATCATACTCACTAAATCAATTTGACATTTGTGTAGGTTATTATGTTTATGCTTTTTAAACTTATTAATAGTTCTAAAATCTTTATAAATGTAATTTTTCAGCAGAGTCATTGATGTGCTTATTGTAGACTATTGGTTGTAATCTCTGTATAAGAACATATTATTCTTTTTTTTAGTTTTAGTTTTTGTTTTAGCAAAGCAAATACTAAACTAGTTGTATACATAATACAACCCTTTTAAATATTTTACTTTTCATACAATTTTCAATCAGCTTACTTGATAATCGCGATAAAAGGTTTAGATCAAAACATGCTTTTAAACAAATTTTGATTACTTATTTTTGAGCGAAACTTGGTCTTCTCACGATCATTTTTCAAATGCTATAATTTATTACCTCTATTAAAATACTATTCCGAATCACCCAACCGTGTTTTTTTTTATTTTTTTTTTATCGCAATACTTTCATTTCTGAGTGTTGCGAGGATCTTTCTGTTACATTATAATATGTTAAACACCTTTGAACTATAGGTAAAATGTATTATATTTTTTATAATTCTGACCTTTTTCTTAAATTATGCACACTAAAACATTGGATATATTTTATGGTTCCGACCTGGCACCATATCAGAAGCTTTTAAATTTAACTACGTCAGACGAATAACACATCTGKACATAATCTGTGTGTAAGTGACTTAGCCATTTCAAAGTGTTCTATTCATATAATGGCTTTCCTTAAGTTAATATTATTATTACATATTTTTATGTGAAATCGCAGTAGTTCGTTAGTCAGATATTTTTTGTTAAATATGTATTTATATTATGATTTTCATCTAAGTAAAAACATAATTCCCTTTTATTAAATGAATACCTAATATACATTTTTATACTATAAGAAGTTTTTTGTAAAATATGAATATCGTTATGTCTTATTAATTTATTTTGAACTATTCTGTTCTTTTTCATTTTATATATTATTTTATATTATAATAGATTCGCATAAAATAAACAAGATGATTCACCAATCACAAAGATCGCCAGGTTATTTGATAATTGACATTTTTTAATATCTCAAAAGCCACTTTTTTTAATTCTTGGTTTTGTTTGTACTACATGACAAGTTTCCTGTGGCAATACAAATTTCTAAATTTTAACTGTAGATAATTTAGTGGAAAATCTTTTTGAAAACGTAAATKTACTTAATTTAAAATTTGAATGAGCAGTTTTAATGTTATTACAATTTTTCACCAGTCCTTAAAAATGGTTTCTTTTTAAATATAAAATAGTTTTAATATACCTATTTAATATAGTATTTATTATATTTTTATAAATTATTAATATTAATAATAATCATATAAATCAGTAACATTTTTAAATCCCCATTATATCATGGGAACTATTATATTTTAGTACAAAGGTAGTTTAAACCTCAGAATTAAAAGTTAAAAGACCGCATGCATTATGCATTTTAATTCTAATACGTCAACATTTTCAGAAAAACAATTAATTAATAATGTACAGTAGAAAAACTTTTTATTAGAAAAATAAAAGTTTGTATCGTCACATGACACTCTTTATGTACCTAGCACAAAAAATCTCAAGAGTTTGAAAATATAAACTCAATACCTAATTTATAATGTATTTAAAAAACTCGTGACATATTGGAATAAAAAAGTAGCAAGCGTACTTGGTTATTTTTAATAGTAAATCATTTTGTTTAACATAGGTCATATGCTTTTATGTATAAGAAGTATTTTATTTGTTGAAATAATACAATGGTATTTATATCACTAAAAAAATACTGAAGAGGAAGATCTCACTATAATTGAAATGATTTCGTTATTTACACATCACGTATGTATCTGTCCCAATAATTCTGAAATTTCGTCTAGACATCTTATTCCAGTTTTTCATGGTTTTAAATGGTAGACTATTGTGACAAGAAGGTTAGACTGTGAATCCAATTTTGGGTAGAATCTTAGATGGTAAATAGAACATTCATGTAAATTATGTCTATAATTCGATTTTAACGAAGAGATACATGTGTACAGTGGAACTATATTATTGAGAAATGTTATATGTTGGTAAAAAGTTAACTGTTTGTTTTTTTTTTTTTTTTTTTTTTACTATTATTAAAATTAGTTTATTAAAATTATATTAATTGTAATATTCTCGCGAGTAGACGGGCCAATTATGGCACTGCACTCAATACAGCTATACAAACCAAATCGAAACGTCCCTATTTTGGTCCTCAAGTGACCAACTTTTCTTCCCCTCTCACACACTTCCCCGAACTTTATCAATAAGNATTTTAATTCTAAATTATTAGTATGGTGTATGGATAATTGATTTAATTTTTTTTCTTTGGTTTGTTTCAAGAATATAATAAAAAAAAAACTATCATTTGATGTCAGATTCATAAAAAAATATTTTATAATTTCTTTTTAGTGATATTTTTATAGTTGGAAATAATATTATTAAAATGTTATATTTGTGTGAGAGCATAATTTATTTAGTAAGAGTATCCAAAATTTAATGAAAATTTATATTTTTATGGATGTACCAAGTGTTTTAAAATGAATATGATGGTTTTAGCTTTAGGCAATAATCTTTCTATACACTTATCTTCATTGCGATTAAGTCTCGTGGGCATTATTTGTTTGTGTAGATTTCTTGAGTGGATGTGTCTGACACACTTGCATTGTTTTTTTTAAATTTTGTATGGAGTGCAAAAACTATTGGTTTTATGACGTTGGATTTTTCAACAAGCACTTTTACAAGTAGTAAATTTGATTCAGCATATGTTGTATCGATCAAAAACAAAGATATATCGAAGTTTGTAGTCAACATCGCATTATTCTAATATTTTTAAAATTTAATATAACGAACAAAATATGAAAATATATACACCAAACGGGTCGTTAAATACCACTTAGGTTTTTTTAAAGTAAGATTATTATTATTGTTTAAAACCTAAAAATAAAACCAATCAAAACTATTTACGAGTAGGTACTTCAATTTTATTTTTTTTTTGCTGGGTATTTTGTAATTTTAAGTTTTCAATATAATATAATATTATGATATGATCTGGATTGTATAGACTGATGCGTAGAGTGGTGAAACAATACAATTTTAGCATTATACTTGTCATATCTATTCATGTTATCATATTAAAATTTAAAAGTAAGAGATGAGTATAGTGTGACTGTATGGACACTATTTGCAAGAGATGCTTGGGGGTAATTATTACCTATGATATAACATTTTATTTTATTAACCCAAAAAGTCTAGATAATTTACATGACCAACAAAACGCAAATTGTTATTTATCAGATTTTATTGTAATTGGCACATGCCAAAATATTAAGACATACTAATAAATTAGTATATCGTATAGACTATATATTATTATTGTTAGGCTAACTGATAAATATTTAAGCACGCTATATATTAATAGAAAAAGGCGAGATAGTAATGTCTTTTTTTTATGAAGGCGTGAATCAAAATAGCTTAGGAACCCGTAGATTAGGTTATTAAAACCACGTGTTTACGGGCTAAATCTCTTCGTGATATGATGTTTATAATATTAACTGAAAACTGAAACATCCGCCAACTTAAATTTGTTATAGCATAAACGTGACTGACAAATCTTATGACTGCAGTTTTTAAATAAGCGTATTAAACTCACAAAAAATATCAATAGAAAAATATCGATAGATTTTGACGTCCATAATATTTTTAAACTAGAAAATATACAAACATAAAATCAATCATGATAATAACAGCAATTTTTGACGAAAAAATGTGCTTTTCACCACTTGTGTGATTTTAGTTTCTTGACAGTATGTACTTAGTTCATAATTTATTTTGTAACAAGATAAAGTATTATAGTATGAAATATTAAGTTAGATGTATATTAGTGTGCAAAATTTATAATAATGAATCTTTAACCATTATTTTGATTAACCAAATTGGTAAATGTATTAATATATACATATATATCGCTCAACAGACTTTAAACTATCATTATTGACCCTAAAAATCCTAAATTTACTGTCAAATTTACTATTTTAAAGTTTTAATAAAGATTCAGAAAAAAAGCTAATATTTGATAATATCTCCAATTTTCTATCGCCTATTTTCATCGCAGAATTAATAAAAAATAGTATATAAAACCTCTTATGTCTTACTTAGTAAACTTTTTATGAAATACTTTCTATTTAATTGGAAATCTTTAGGTTAAGTTTGGTAATTTTTTTTTTTTTTTTGAGATTGTTGGTACAATTAGAGACTGGAATGGGCTGGTCACATATGGCGAGATAAGGACAGCCAAATGAGACAAGTTGTGATATATAAACCAAATAAAACACGCCCAAGAGGAAGACCACGTCAGCGTTGGATAGATCGGGTAAAAAAAGACCTAATGCAAGTAGATTAAACTGCAATAATTGAGGATGCAGGCAACAGAGACCGATGTAGAGGCTTAGTAGAAGTAGCAAAGGGCCTTAATGGCCTGTAGAAGCTAAAAAAAAAAAAAATAATCAGTGCATACAATATTAGTAAATGAGCCGTTTTTTTCAAAAATATTCTAAGTTAATATAGTGAGACTATTGATTTTTTTTTTTTAACTCTGAAAATAAAAAATAATAATGACAAAAACAATAAAATCATGAGTAGGTAACTAAGTAAATATAAACATACTTGTAATGCATAATACAGGCGTAGGGAAAGTGGCGTCTCCATCGCACGGTGCATCTTAATATATGTGCCGCAATAGCCCTACCTTGACCTTAATTGGTTGGGGCAGACTGATCCTACAGGTTGGAGGTTAATACGTTGGGCCAACCACCCATYCAGTGTAAAAAACACCTTGGTTAAGAAACCACTAAAAAACAAGCCTCGGATATGGACTAATAAAGTGTATAAAGAAATCGAACCAGGAAACGGAATGAAATTGGGATCATGGAACGTTAGAACTTTAAACACACCGGTTGCATTGCAATATGTTTTAGATACAGTTAAATCATATAAAATACAATTATTAGCCTTACAAGAAGTAAGATGGCCTAATAAAGAAAATATGACATTATTCTACAGTGGAACAGATAATGGCGCAAAAGAAAATGGAGTAGGCATGATTGCTTAGTACCACACGTTAAAGTCTATAAACTAGTTAATGACAGAATATGTTATATACTTTTAAATGGAAAATATTTCGATATTACAGTAATATCTTGTTATGGTCCTACTGAAGAAAAAGAAGATGAAAAAAAAGACAAATTTTATGAGGAACTGGAAGAAGTGTCTGACAGACTACCAAAACGTAGTATCAAAATATTTTTAGGCGATTTTAATGCTAAAATTTGCTGAGAGACCAAGTATAGACCAACGATAGGCAAGGAAAGTCTTCATGAAGATAGTAACGACAACGGAACACGATTAATTAACATGGCAATGTCAAAAGAGTTAGTGATCAATAGTTCTTATTTTCCCCGAAAGCACACATGTGTATCTCCAAATGGATTAACTAAAAACCAAATAGATCATGTTATGATCAGTAAAAAATATATGAGTTGTATTTTTTCATAAATATTCTGTTTGTGAGACTTTTGATTTTTTTTTTAACTCTAAAAATAAAAAAATAACAATAACAATAAAATCATGAGTAGGCAACTAAGTAAATATAAACATACTTGTGATAATATACTATTTAAAATGTAAATATTATACCTGATTGCGTTATTAAAACGCAAACATAAATATTTACTCAATAATTATCTAATTGAAGTGTAATATTACAATCGTGTTCGCTGAACTACTTTGTTTTAATTATAATTATATATTATATAGCTGAATTACCCGTCGTTGCCGGGTTTAAGTATATAAAATATGTATATAACCTGCCAAGATTAAATTTTGTTAAATCTATTGAAATTTAAATTAATTAAGATTTTTGAAATAATATTTTATACATATCATTATTATCATAACCTATTCTATAAGTTATAGGTTTTGGCAGCAGAAGCTTTGTTCACGATAAATTTTAGCACTAAAGGTTCAAAATAAATGTTTTACTAATAGTTTTTCAATATGTTATCTACAAAACTTCTTTGTAGACAATGTTCTTCACTGATCTATTAGTAGGCGACAAAATCACCAAGCTATTGGGTGAGCTTACGCGTGAGCAAGCTACGTAGAACTGCCCATGTGAAAAAACAGTTTTCTCGCAAATCTATTCCTGCAAATTTAAGAGTTTGGCCTTGAGACTTGTTTATARTCATTGHAAAWCAGACTTTCAGGGGAAACTGTAATCGTTTAAATTCGAACGGATGATCATTCGGAATTAAAGGGATTCGTGATACAAACACAGTTTCCCCTTTTGCACATCCTGTTAAAATTGTGGCTTCTACTATATTGCGATTTGCGATGTAAAGCTTTGACATTAAGCCTGGTCCCATTGCACAGTTTAGGCGGTTTCAAATTTCGCAACAACATAATAGGTGTGCCCACACGCATAATAAGCCTATGATATGGCATGCCCGGTGGTTTCAATGAATTTAAAAATTCAACCGGATAATTAGTTGCAWCGTCCATGTTGACCACCGTATCTATCGAAGTATATACTTTTTCTTCCCCTTCAAAAGACATCAGCAGTGTATCATTGATAGCCACCGCTTGGTCATTTTTTGGAGTGAGTATAGCACGTTCACACAACCATTCCATAGGCTTATCATGAATATGAGCAATATCTGGATACATTTTTGATATTAAATCCTGAACCGTAGTTACAACTGTGCACAAATTTTCTGGTATAGTTATCATTTCATCAAACGATGGATAATCACCATTGCCAATTTCAAGTAAAAGATCTGCAAATCCACCAGCAAACTTTTCCTCTCCCAAGTGTACCCTCATATTTTTTGACAGTTTGAGTATATTAATCTTAGGCCATAAAATAGATCTTTTAAGACATGACTTGACTTCATCAGTTCTGGTCCCTTTTGGTACTACTGGTAGAGTCTGCCTAAAGTCTCCAGCCGGTAAAACCGTTACACCACCCATTAACCTACATGTGGGAAAATATTGCCAGCTGCAAACAATTTGCAGTAACCACCGTAGACAGTAGGATTTTCCATATCACAAACATAATCCTCAGGAATAGAAAAGTTGTCACAATATTATGAGTTGTAAGACATATTATTACAAAGGTATTCCAATTATCAGAGACATACGCAACAAGTTTACTTCGGATCTCCTGGCATCTTTCTTGAGTCTTATATAAATTAAAGGAAATCTTCATTCAATAGATGACATTTTTTATAAATGAAAGTGAAAAAAATAACTGAATAATAAATAATGTCTTGTGCCCATATTTGGGTATTGCCAATTAAAACCTCTTATCACTAATAAWAATAATAATAATTTAATAATATAAATAAATAAATATAATATTAATAATACTAGATATTGCTTGATAGATAGCGCCACTGTTGTATACTTACAACCACTTAATTTTACCTTTAGGGGTTGAATTTCCAAAAATCCTTTCTTAGCGCACGTCTACATCATAATAGCTATCTGTATGCCAAATTTCAGCCAGATCCGTCCAATGGTTTGAGCTGTGCGTTGATAGCGGTCAATCAGCTTACTGTTTTATATATGCAGATTATACAACTTATTCATTTAAAATATATTATACTCATGATATTAATGCAGTAAATAATGCAATTGCTTACAAAATAATCCCTTAATTTCTTATTTAAACACTATTGTGACCCTAATCTTATTCGTGATATATGAATAAAGGTGAAAGAGTTATGGACAGAAAACAGTATAGTCTATTCAAATAATTTGCCAGTGTACCATAATAAATTGAATACATTAAAATTTAATACTCATTGACAAGATAAATTAGGTACCTGTGCCATCTATTCGTTATGTTGTTACATTAATCAGGTAAACTTATATTTTTATTGTTTCGTTGATAATAATTTTTGTATAAAAATGACAGTTCTTATGTTTACAACTTCAGAAGCAAGTCAGCAGAATAATAAAAAATAATAATCCAGAGATTAAACTTTAAAATATACATTCATTTTTTATKTTTTTGAGAATTTAAACGTTAAACAATTTTAATGTTTAACATTAAATGGTACGTATTTTATTTTTCCGTATAACTGTTAGATAAATGCAATTTTAATTGTTCATTTAGTATCTTACGTTACCAACCAGAAGAAAAAAATAGGGAATATCTCTTATATATTTTTATTAATTATATTATTATATGTAGTATAATTGTCGACAATGCGTTATATACACACTATATACAATTCGTAGTACATTAAATCTTTAGAGCTTAACCGGTAGCAAGCTATAAAGTTTTATTTATTAATTTAACTAGACTTGAATATTAATATATTTATTGTGTGATACTCTTAGCATTAAAAACAAAAATGGAATACCATAAAATTTTTGTTATTTTATTTAATGAAATAAATAATATTTTTAATATATTCTAGTTTAAGAGAAATTTTTCTAATTATATAAATTTATTAAACAGAAGTAAATAATCGAATATTGACGTAGGAAAAGTGGCGCGCCCATCGCTCAGTACACAACATAGTGCTCTGCAATAGCCCCACACTGACTTTAACTACTTGATGTGGTCCGGCCCTTCTGGCAGGAGATTTAGAATAGTGGTAACAACCCTATATAGTACAAAACTACATGTTCAGGAACAACCAAATTTGTCTAGGGACAGAATTCTTGGAAAATCGACTGGTAAACGGAAAACGGACTTCTCTTTTGGAACTTGAAACTACGCACACTATATAAACGTGGAGCAATTCATAACATAGTGAATAAAGTTGAAAAATAGAATAAAGCTAACAGTACTACAAGAAGTTAGATGGAACAATACGGGGATAATAAATATAAACGATACAACTATCTTCTATGGTAACTGCACTGATCAACGTCAACTAAGACCAGGTTTCGCGATACACAAAAATATATTCCCTGCAGTTAAAGAATTAAAAAATTCAAAGATATCAATCATAGAATAAGTACGTTGCCAATAGAATCAAAATGGTTTGATAAAAGCTTCATTAATGTACATGTACCAACGGAAGACAAATCTCAAGAAGAGAAAGAAATGTTCTATGATGAACTGGAAAGTACATTGGTCTCGATTACCAGCATTAGAATACAGATTGTCCTAGAAGATCAAAATGACAAAGTTGGGAAAGAAATAATGTTTAGCCAAATTGTAGGAAAATACAGTTTACATAATGAGACAAACGACAACGGACTTAAATTAGTAGACTTGACAGCTAAGAATGGTTTAGTAATAAAGAAGCACAATGTTTCTTCATAAAAACCATAGACCATAGTCTGGTCAACTCAAGATTTAAAAATTGTATTCATGACGTCAGATTGATAAGAGGAGCTGACACTGACTTAGATCACTATAACGTTAGATGTAAAATTAAGATTAAATTAAAAAGACGCTAGCATAAGGATATAGAACAACGAACTAGATATGATGTAACTAAGCTGAATGGCCCAAAATATGAGTCCGTGACAAGGGTGAATGCACAGAGTTTGCGTGTTCTCAGTTTCTCATGCTGAACAAAGTATGTTTAGTGATTAAAAATAAAACATTAAATGACATTAAAATATTTCAAAAGTTATTAACTATTACCACCAACACTGTAGACTTCTTAAAAATATATTTTGTTCAGTATAAGTTACTTAATTAAAAAAAAAGTAATTTAATTAAACATGTTGTTATCCACGTATTATTTCATTCTAAGTTTTTAACATATTATTTTAAACAATGGACTGTTATTGGCATGGTTGATGAAATAGCGATATGGCCATAAAACATGATATTTTGAAATTCGATAAAATTCAATATAATTAATGGTTAGGTATTGCACTGGTTAAAACAACTTTAACATTTTAATTTTAATATTTTTATAGAAACCTAACGCTACCTATGATAATGATATTATTATTAATATGGTAATAACAATAATAACCCATAGTAGTAGTGTAGCTAAATAGCCTATCCAAAACGCCGCGTAATCGTTTGTAACTAAATTATTTAAATAAATTCTAAAAAGTCCATAAAAAAATACTGTCATACTGAGGTATATTTGATGAAATATTGAAGAATAGTAATATTGTATATTTTAATGATAGTAATTTAATGTTTTATGTTGGAAAACTTAAACCAGTCGCCATGGAAACATCAAATAATTGTATAAATACAATGAAAAATCCATACCTTTTTTAATTAAATATAACAAAAACAATATAAATATAAAAATCATATCTTTTATTAAAATATATGATAATAGGAAACTATGTATTCAAAACAATTGTAAATATTCTGTGATATTATACAATTAACATATTAAAACTATAGTATATAGTGTATTTTTTTTCTTTCTAATACCAAACATTCAAAATATAATTTCAATATTTTTAATTTATAATTCCATGGGGCTATTAAAAAACTTAAGAGCACTATTTTAACTACAGAATTATTAGATGAAACTTTAACCTTGTAAAGATGACATAATAACTATTATTCTCGTGGAAATAAACTATGTTTATTAAGTACTTTATAACGGGTATTAAAAATATACAATTATTAACTGTCAATATTTGGTTTTTACTAACATAATTGTTTTTACTCTGTAGCAATTAGTCTACTTGTAAACTATAACTCTGCAAAAACTATTAGACAAGCCATTTAATAAAATATATATTCACTGTTTGTATTTTGTTTGGTCAAATTATCTATGGTATCAAATTCGTTTGAATTAAATTCAATTAAATTCAAATTTGTTAACTACAAAATGTTTGTTTCCGTTTCTTACAAATAATCATACTCCATGTTCATTTCGACATAGACACGTATACGCGTGGGTAATATCCTACTAGATCCTTCGAGAATACATAATTTAATTTCATATCTGATTGCTTTTCAATGCGGTTTATGCCTCAAATGGATTATAAAAGGACAAATTCGAGTAAATTAATTGTTACCTAGTTATCGATGTATATTAAAATCAATAGCCATGACAGTTATTATTTCAGTTTTACAAATCCGCATTTTTAACATTTGTGATTGATATTCCAAAAAATCGTATCAAGTTATGTTTTATATTTATTTTAACGTCAAATATAAAGTTGTTATTAAATGAAAATATAAGTTTTTAATAAAATACATAAAATCTAGAATATCTGCAAATTCAAAGCAGAAAAAAAATCTGGAATTTATTAATGTGTGATAGATTTTTACCTAGTGAATATCCATTTAAATATTATTATTATTTAAGTGCATATACTTATAGAATATAATTTAAATTATAATTATTATACAACTACACAACGTAAACAATTAACATTAACTATTCACATTGTCTATAAAAAAAAATATATACTATAAAATATAATTTTACCCAAGGACAAAAATAATACTTCTACTAACAATGACTAGTGAAAAATAAACAATCCTGGATCATCATGAATAGATGAATATTAGTTTTCGTATTTTTTCAACTCTTTATTAAAAACCGAGATATACATTAAATTTATTTATTTATTAAAAATAGATACCTAATTATATTATTGAGAATTCTAGATTGATAATTATTGTATAATTCTTTAGGTGAAAAGTAAATAAATTGATTGGCCACCTATTTTTAAATTATTATTTTCAGTAATATATCTCAGTGAATGATTACTTGAAACTGATTATTAGATCAAATATAATTGATTGTATGTTCTAAACATTTATGAGAAATAACGCAAGTTTTCTTTAGTAGATGGTTCATGATTGTGAAAATTATCATTGATTATACAATTAAATCAAAAATATCTGTTCTGCACCAATATGATAAAAACAAGACATGAATTTCATCCTTAATGACTGTATCCTGTCTATACTTTTAAGAAAAAACACTATAGTGATATAAATAGATATAGATTTTACCTGAATATATTTTCACTTCGACACTTTGTTTTAAACTTAAACATTAATTAGAAGT